GACAGACAGACAGACAGACAGACAGACAGACAGACAGACAGACAGACAGACAGACTGTGGTTTTGTGTTGCAAGTGTCGTAAAACTCTGACTAACACAATTCTTTTAAAATGAATGTATCGCCCACATAGAAGTTTGTCCCTTTATAGTATTACCTTTTAATAAGAAACAGGAGCTCTTATGCAAATTAGATCAATTAGGAGGCGGGCTTTGACCCTGCCTGTAGGGTCAACCCAGGTTTAGAGGGATACAAAGTCCTAGCAGGAAGACCGACAGCTCTATACTCGATGAAAGTGATTCTCCTCACTCGAGAAACGAACTCGAGTCTCCTGTGTGCGACGGCGAAGCACTTAACCTCATGCCTTCTTCTTCATGCCACGGCCTAATAATATAGCAAGAGCTTTACGGAACTTGCAACACAATTAGGTCACACGAGTGCCTACGATTATAAATAGGTGTTACAAGAGAGGGACGAGTAACAAATTATACCACACACAAAAAAAAGGAGAGATAAAGAGGATAGCTGTTTGATCTGTAGCAAAGAAGGAGCAAACTACACCAGAGCACCCGCCAACTACCCAAAGAAAAGGCCTAACCAGGACGACATCACAAACACCGGTCTGGGCTCTCGTGGTCTTGAGGTTACGGTGTTCGCCTCTCATTCCAGAGGCACCGGGTTCGAATCCGGATAGTGACGGAAATTTTTCTCCTCTAAAATGTTCTCCTTTCGCATCCTTTCCAATGTTCTGTCGTCTGCTTTCGTCTCTACTTTCTGCTCCCATCCCCTCACCTCCTTTGCCCCTCCTCTGGGCTCTTGACTCTTTCTGCAGCCATTCTACTCATTGGATCCTTCTTACTGTTGTATTTCAGCCACACCCGTGATCTTATGGTAGGTAAGATCTACACCTAATCTTCTCGTATAACGGCAAAAAATCTCGGAGGTCCCGTGTGCCGAAGCTTATTCTCATCGATTTTAAACCACCAAGGGATTTTTAACGTGCGCAACTTGCACACGAGACCTCC